TTTTTTTTTCCACAGACCTGACCTCGAGCTTTTTTGAGCAGCTTCACAAAACAGGCTGACGCAAGAGCTGGTCTGAAGAACACCGTTCCTCAGTTCAGGCAAGCTGATGACTCTTCATCCAAAGGACCATTGAGTCCTGAAGAATATTCCATGAAGATCAGGTGGTACTCCTTTTTCCGGGAGTTCGTCCGGACTGATCAGTGCAGGACGCTCCCTTGAGGCAGCAGGATCGCGCCAGCGGCGAGCCATTCCGTGCCCCATGCATAAGAAGTGGTCTTATGGAAGATGAACCTGCAGCCCTGAACTCTTCGCTCTCCTACTTTATCCCTGATTTCAGGGAACTGAGGCAAGATGTGTGGATCAAAAGAAAAAAACTTTTGGTTTAGGCCTAACCAGAACTCTTTGGCTCCAGCACATTGTACCCATCCTGCATGTTCAGTGCCAGGAACATGGTCATACATCCTACTCAGTCAGTGGATAACTTGTTATCATAACTCTTTTTGGGGAATTGGGTTCCCCAGTAAACAAGAACAGGTGTTAAAAACAACAGGACCGGACATGACCTGGTTTGCGGGTTATGACCTGCAATGCCAAACATTGCCGCCTGGAAGTCCCAGTCATCCTGGCCTCAGCATCACACCTAAGGCTTCCAAAACCCTATACATTGCTACACCAACGGTGGCTTCACTTAAAGGTCCGTTCGGCCCTCGTGGGATCGATCGTAGAGCACGTGCACGTGCACGTTCCCGCACCACACCAGGCGCCCACCTGAAGCCTCAAGTTCAACGGCACCACGGTGAGGGGCTCCGATTCCTTTCCGGGGCGAACGACGGAGCGAACGACGGAGCCATCTGACCGGATTGCTGGATGGGCATGGGCTGCAGGGCCGGATCACCGAGACGACCTGGACGAATCCGAAGCGGGGCGACAACCAGTGGAGACGACCAGGAAGATCAGGGCGAACAGATGGGTCAGGAAATTACTTCAAGGAGGAGGAGGAGGAGGAGGAGGATCTTGGAAGTCTGCAGCGAACACAGAGGCAACCAGGTGGAGGACCATCGGACCCTGCTACAGGCTACTTTGAAATCAGCCAATTCAACCTGGAAGATCTCTGGACAGGAGCTTGCGTCAGCAAACATGCGTCAGCTTGGAGAAAGGAAGATGATCTCTCAAACAGATCTCTGGCAGAGTATACTTCTCTTCATCCCTGCTTAAGGAGTTTAGACGCTTAGCTTTGGATCTCAGAATCCTCCTTGAACCACCAAGGCCCAAAGCGCCGCAGCTGCCTACAGCAGCTTCGCCTCCAGCAGCCCAGTGATGGACCTCAGTCTCAGTGGCTCTGGAGAGACCAGCGGTTTTGGGGGTCTGCGGTATATGGATCATTAATTATGGATCCACATCCACTCTGAGTAGGGTGGCTCGGGTATGTTTAAGGCGGATTTGGAGAGTCCGCACCTCAGAAGGTGGACACTGAAGAACATGTCACAAGCGGATGGTTTGGCCCGTGCCAGAAATGTCGGGTCATTGCCACTTCCAGGCGCTTCCAGGTTGGTGCGATGTCAGAGTCAGATGCCGGATCTATCGACGTTCGTGGCTGAAAACCGTACAGCTTAAAATTTTCGGTGTGAGTGCGGGAGATGGCGAACGACAGCTGCAATCGCTGGAACTACATAGGAATCAATACAAAAATATACAAACTATATTTAAAAACAAGGATACTAATAATGGTAATAATGGTAATGGTATTAATGATAAAGTAGAGGACCCCAACGATCGTACAGTGAGTCCCTAAACACCAGTGAGACCCCGCCGTCGAAGCGTCTGTCCTTAAGGACGCCATCGACTCTGCACGTGCGTCCCGCCACCTGTGAGGCCGAAAACAGCAACACCCAGTCAGTGTGGGCTCTGAGACATAGTCAGACAGCTGTGGGATCATGAAATCATGCAATAACCGTTTTTCATAACCTCCTTCCACCTGACCTTTTTCGTGTCTGGACATGTTTGGACGCTTCGTCAGGGAGCGTTGAGAGTTCCGCTGAAAAGGTTGAAGGAAGACGGTCCCTGCCATCATCCGGTCGCATGTATCAACCTCCAGAAGATCCGAGATCATGGTCGCGTCGTTTGGTCGAGCCCAATTCTTAGTTTCCCTAGGGCTCCAACCACCTCCTGAGAAGGTGGTTGGGGTGGGTTTGGGGGGTCTAACCACCTTCTGAGGATATAGTTGGAGCCCTAGGGTTTAATGATATACCACAAACTTAGCCGGCCATTCAATTCAATTGATTCAACCTGGTGATTTCACTTGAGCCTGGTTGAGCATTCCAGTTCTACCAGCCATTATCTCCCCTTTGCCAGAAAGTTGACCCGAATGGCAGGAGTCGTGTTCCAGGTGTAGAATTGCAAAGGACATAGGACTTTGGCACTTGCTGGCTCAGAAGAAGTCCATGTATCAAATTGTTCAATATATGTTTCATAAGGTGCAAAAAAAGAGGAGTTTGCTTCTTGATTGGTTTTCAAATTTTCAAATACCCTCCATGGACCAAATCCTGCCTGGGATGCACTGACTCTGTGCCGAGGCCAAAGGCAGTTGCACCAAAGTGGGGAACTCAACGATGCATGGATGGGCCGAATCCATGTCGATCGAACAGGCTTTATCAACTTGGTTGAGTCCAATATCCTGCGGGTTTGACCCATGTTCTCACCTGTCGGGCAAAGGACTCAAACCGAATATCTGAGCTGGAGAGTTTTTTTGAGACGCAGACGCTGGTGCCCCACAAACAACCTTGTAACACTTTTGTCTCTTCTTTTGAGGTAGTTTGCGTTCCGTTGAAACGCTTCCGGCTCCAAACGCCCGTTTTCATTCCAAGACGGTTGCGTTCCGTTTCCCTTCGCGGCTCTCTGGAAGCCACCGCGGAGTGATGTGGAACTCGAACCTTCACTCGCCCCCCGTTCGCGGCCGAGCTCGGGGATGAAAGGACCAAACCAAGGTCGAGGGATGTCGAGGGAGCCGTACTAGTGGACAGAAGTAGATAGTTCAGTCCACCCTTGATGCATAATATATCATGAGATAAATCGCCTGTTGGAAGATGGATATGCAACTTTGCAACATATTTTGATTTTGAGCGAAGCGGCTCAAGGGTAGGTCGACGCAGTTTTTGAGCCATTCCGAGATGGGTGAGGACAATTTCAATCAAATTACTTTTTCATTTCGGTGAAGCAGCGGTTTTTGAGATGTTTTGAGTGATGGTCAATCTATGTCAATCTACAGGGTCGTCAAGCAAGGTTCTTCCCCTGAGAACCCATCCTTTGGGATCGTCCATTGGCCAGGGGCATAGGCCTCGACGACAGATGCAACGCCGTATCACTGGCGACAGCCTCTGCGACAGTTGCCGTAATGCCGTATCACTGGATAGAGGACTTCTCCGCAAACCCGTCATTGGAGCCACGCCCTCCGACCCCAAAAAAGGGGGGCCAGTTGCCCGTGAGAAGGTGGTCATGTGAGAGAGCGGTGTTGATCCAGCGCCGGAACAGCGGGCTGTGCCAATAGCAAACCCTCCATTTCAGGCCGAGCATGCCTGCGCCTGCACCAGAGGTGGGAGGGAGGTGTTCCAGTGGCGGCGAGAAGATAACTGTTGTCTCAAACTATAAAGTAGCAGGCGAGTCAAACAAAGACCCCTTGAAAAAATGGATTGGTGCTCTAGTGACTCTACTACTGGAAGTGTGTGGGTTAGGCTTCTCTCAGATGCCTGGCCAAAACGCATCCGTTGCCGCGCATCAAGACTTTTCAGTGTCCCTGGATCCCGCTGTTGGGCTTTCGTTGGGGATCCATGGATGGAACAGTGTCAATAGTATTCAATAGTTACTTGCATTAGGGTCATAAATAGCGTAAATGAGTCATGAGGCTAAATAATATGTAAATATATGATGTATCCATTCCATACATGAATGGTCTGGGATGGGCTTCCCATGGCTTTCGTTTGCTGGTGTTGTCTCTGCTGTCATCATGTTTTCTATATAATCTATGGTTCAATGGTGTGTCCAATAGAGATCCACAAGTAGAGTGGAGGCTTCCATTGGTGACCCCTTGGAAGGTGCTGGTATATCCAGCTGATTGTGTAAGTCGATCCCGGCATCCTCCGAGGCCGCCTCAGCCGGCCGCAGTGCGGCCAGCGCACGGCAGGGCCGGTCTGAAGCAGCGTTGGTGTGGGCTCCAAGGTCGGTATACAGAGAGATAGATGAATGATGAATGTAGGGTGCGGTCCATTACCTGTGACAGTGGGTGAAAGATGTAGAAGATGATCCATATTGTAGAGCAGGGCCTTTACCATCATCGACTGTTACAGGGAATGGGATATACCTAATGTATTATTGAACCGTTTGCCCTCCCATTACTCTGAAACCAATGTATTTATATTTGCAAGCGAAACTAGATAAGTTTACGAGAAACTGAGTTGGATATATTTGTTTTTATGTATGGTTCTAGGCTCTAGGTTTGTATATAAACAGCACCCAACTTGGCATGATTGTGACCAAAATTAGATCTGTGTCCACAACATTGGGTGCCCCCACCGGATCGTGAGGTCTGTCACACCGGATCGTTTGCCGTCTGACACTCAGGTCAGCGGTGTGCCAAGAAGGACAGCTTTGGACCTGGGAGGGTTCTGGCGTATGTTTTTGGGTGAAGTTCCCTCCCAGAGTCCAGGTACCCTGTCCCGATACCTCTTGGAGGTGAGTAAGTTTACTTTCATGGTCCTGGTCGACCTGGGACAGCAGGACATCCTAGCAACGGATGGTCCAGGACCCAGCCCGCCATGCTAGCGATGCCAGGCTATTCCGGCGCATCCAGGCACCGAGGTTTGATTGTACATGAGGTCAACGCACTCAGAGTGGCTATGTTGGGATTTCCCTTGCTTGAGAAGGTTTGAGACCGAAAGCAACATTCAGAATGCTGCTGTACACAAAAGAATCAGAGCTTGGATGTGATCTTCGAAGGTGCTGTCCACACGGCCGGAAGAAAGGAATAGACAGGCAGAGGACATGGACCCACCAGTTGTTCAATCCTTTTCAGCTGATCTTTAAGACGAGTTTGTTCCTTTTCGGGATGTTGACGCCTTGACGCTGATGTTTATCAACGAGACACGAAGAAGAGCCTGACGGTCCTTGGAAGAGCGCTGAGCGACACCAGGGTGAGGTCTGGGAGGAACCCAGTGAGGCCCCCGGGTGTTGCTTCCCGCAGCAGCGCAGCAGCGATGATCCCTCTTCGGACCGGATTTCATGTGACTTATGGGGAGAAGGAAGCAGACGAATCCAGGCCGCCTCCAGACGTTCTGAGGCCCCCAGATGCCTGGTCTTCAGGAATGTTGGACGTCTGAAGTGTCGGGTTCGGCTTCGACAAAAAGCAAATAAGAAGGACGGAAAAAAGCACCAGGTGGATGACTCCTGTCGTGTCTTTGCAGCATCATGGGAAGCTTGTCGACACCTCTTTTCCAGCAGAAGATGTTTCAAATGTGTGTACTAGTGGCTGCCCAGAATGTTCGGGCATGTGGAACAACCATCACCCTGGACAACGCAACGACAACTCGGGCAGAGCTTCATGTTGTATTATATCACAAAATTAAGGAGTTGATACCCTGCAAGCTTTTGTAGGTGCCTCTGTATTGCAGAATCTTAGGCACCAAGAAACGTGCCATTGACTTGAGAGTCGTGCTTTTAACATGTTTTAACAAGGTACGGGCCAGGTACGGGTAAGAAAGGATGGAACAAGCTAGTCCTGTTCGGGAGGCATTGGCTCAATCTATTCCATTATGAAGGACGTGTTTGTTCTTTTTGACTTTTAACAAATATGTTGGTTGCCTAGGTGAGAATCAAAGCAGGATGACCTTCACGGATGTTTTCCATGTGCCTCTCTTTGTACTTCGGTCCCGAAACGCCCAGAACGCTCATGCGGTCGTTTTCCGTCGACCCGCCTGTCGATGCAGGCCCTGGTCAGCGGTCTTCCGGCCTGGTTTGAAGCCACATGAGCCACCCAACAAAACCCGTTTGTTGATGTTTTTTGTTGTTTCTGTCGCTCAGCAAACCAAGTTCCAGTAGTACGATGCGGCAAACGGTTGGATGCTCCCCCAGGTGCCAAACGGGTGAACTGCAGTTTCAGTGGGCAAGTCATCCTCCCCCCATTCGGAGGTGTTGTTTTCGAGGCTTCTCAAGGAACAACTACGCACGAAATATGTAGGATTCTAGAATGATTGTAAACAACAAAAGACACACTGTATCTCCTTGCAGATACAACATGGAGAGATCTCATGATTGCAAAAACAATATACAACATGGAGAGTCCTCCGGAGAGATCTCCGCGGAAACTGGGCGTAGAGTGTGGGAGGGGTGTCCTTCATGTCGCTTGGTGGACCTGCCAGGCACCTCCACCAGAGATAGCTGTGGCTGGGACCCCAGGGTCAGATGGGCTGGGTGGACCAGGGAGTAGGAAGATGCACCAGGAGGCAGAGGAGTTCACAGACGATCCATGGAATTTCTCCCTTCTCCGCTAGAAAAAACAAAAACACAACCTATATTGCAGGGTGTTCTGCAATTTTTTTGGGCCGACCTGCACTGGGATATTTTGCGTGATGACACTTAAAGTATTCTGAAAGAGATAGTGTGAGTTGCTACTAAAGTATATAGTCTGAACGAGATACTGTGACATGACCTTCTACTTAAGTAGTTTAGTACCAAACGCTGCACACATGGACACATGGCCGAAGTGTCATGTATGCTCCGCTGCAGAGGTGTCAGCGCCCTCATCTCCTTTGGTGAAGGCGGACATGTTGTGTCACATTTTTTATGATTCATGACGGACATGTTGAGATGCAACAGGATGCACTTTCCCGTAAATGAGATCACGTATCTTCAACTAATATGGAATGTTCGGAATGTTCTTTAACGGACCATTTGGACAGTGGAAGCATCATTGCTGACAAGTATAGTCTGGACCAGCCACTTGGTATGATTGTGTTGTAGGTCAATGTAGGTCAAATTTATCGGTGTGTTTTTGGTGTAAGTTTTCCTCCACACGCTGCATTATATCGCTGAAACAGTATATGCAATTTGTTTGGCTTGAAGAAAACTCACAACGGACATGGTTCATGTGGTTCCATTGCCTTGCCCTAAGGTTCCAAGTGTTTTCTGACTTAAAGTGTTTGCTTGGAGCAGGTACTTGGAGCCCTCAGGATGCTGTTTGCTTGGCCCAAGAGCAATGAAAATCATTTGGCTAGATCAGACCGCTTGCTTACTTTGGGGGTTCCAGTCCTAAGCAAAACATTGCGTATCTAGTAGGCAAAAAATTGATATATTTACTACTTGGTTTATGCTCGAATATAGTTTTGGATCTGGCTGTGTAGATAATCTAAAGTAGGATAGAATAGGATACAATAATAGGCATAGGCCTTTCTAGCGGCCCCCAATGTTTTTCCAGTGTTGGGCAATTTGAGTGGTGTGTTTGTTGCTTTGGCCGGCACTGTTCCTTTAAAGCCAGACTGGAATAAACAAACTGTACTGTAGGACTTGTATATTGGTCGTTTTCCAGAGCGATTTTATAATGTCAGGTGTTGGGACAATACATAAAACCCCGCTCCAACGCTGACAAACAACTTGTAGAACCTATGTGCCTCGTTGAGGAACTCTCTCTCTATAATATTTATAATCGTGTTTATCAATCCTCTTCTGGCAGTTTCCGGATTTGTGTACCAAAGTGTTCTAATATTGTTTCTTTCACCTGACACTTCTCTTTGATGTCTCCACCATCCCAGGGCAACAAGGAACCACACCGATCCCAAAGACGATCCCAGGTTCTGCCAACTGACCTCCTGTGTTCAGTTTGATGCATATTCGTTATAGAGATTGGTCCCCGCCCCACCCTTTGCTCGTAGACCAGAGTATAGAAATCACTTCATCGAGTTGCAACATATCCATCAGAATGGGGTACCGTTGGATATGTTCTTAACATGCGTGCTGAATCCTTGAACCTTTACAGCCCATTTCCCTCTTTCCAGGCAGAGCAGGACCAAAAACATCCTGCAGCATCAGAAGTCTTTGTTTCTTCTCACGTCAGGCGGCTTCTTCGCCCACTTCGCCATCCCCTCAGTCACCCTCGCCCAAGGCCGATGTGGATTCCGATCGAAGGGTCGTGACCCACCTGGAGTGCTGGTCCACCATCCTCTGACCTTCCAGGTACAACCAAGGGTTCCTTTCTGTTGACTAACTGCCATCTCAGGGGCAGCCTGAGGAAAGCCACTGAGCAACTCCAAAACAAGGCCCAAACCCTATGCACAAAGCTATAGCCATGGCTCTGGCGAAACTGGTGATTAGTGTGATACTCATTGGTCAAATTGGAGTGAAACATGGATGTTCAAGGACGAACAGTTAGGCTTGGAAAAACACACACATGGCATAAACTGCCAATGCAGAAGCCAAGCAGTTCACGCGAAACCATCAGATCGCGTCTACGCCGTGGCTGCAAGCCATGCTCATTCCATAACCGTGTCAGTTGAGGAACACTTCCCCGCCCATGAAATCCACCTTCGCGCTGCGCGCTGTTCGTTCGACCCTCTCCGGCCGTTGGCCCCCCGTGCAACGGATCAACGTGTCGACCTGCGGTTTCGATGACGTCGAAGTTCCGGCAGCTTGGGGAATGGACCTGCATGGTTCTTCAGTTCGTGAGCGAACGTGATTTCCTTGGTTTGAGGCCACGCCTGTTCCTGGAAAACGTCACTAGTTGGGACCACAGACGTTTGAAAGAAACCACACATGAACGAAACAATCATCATCCTGACCAATACTGTAGCTTTTCTGATTGTTGATTGAACTAAACTTACCGTTGTTAACCATGAATGATCCTCGTCTTCATGTTGCAGTGGATTGAGACTCTCTACTGGCTTCTCAAATCCAGTCCCTGTTCTACAGTGCTACAGATTTTGATCCAAACGTCATCATATATAGCATATGATAGCTATCCCGAGAATAGCTCCAGCGATGCTTTAAGAGGGACCCTTTTCATGTCTATCCCAGTCTGAAGGGATGCTTTCGTGTTCTTTTGTTCCCATGAGCGGTTGAAGTTAGCCACTCCCATGTGATGGATTGCACAAACCTCACCATCCTGAGATCGATTATGAAGCCAACAATAGCAGCTCCCCCCAGGAGTGGTTGTCAGGGATCATGCACACCCCAGGGCTTCTCTAAAAGAATATACAATATGTATAATCTAATATAATATATAACTATATAGCAGCGCCCCCGATTGGGGGTAGGTAATGGATACCCCGAATCACCTTTTGTTCTGTTCGCTAGTGTGCGCATGAGGTCGCATGTCATGAACCTTTGACACGTCACCCCGGAAGGGCGGGGCTCGAGCTTAGGAAAACTGAGCGGCGCGTTCGCGGTTTGGACCACGACGGTCCTGTGTTTTGGCCACTTGTCGGCCGATCGCCTTTCATGGTAGGCGGAGCTCCCTGGTGAGGAGCTGGGGCGCTTTGGTGGTGGAGAGCCGGCGACATGCCGGCGGAGGACGTCCCGGCCTGGGACGGTGACCCGTCTTCTTTTGAAGCATTCGCCACATCGTGCAGGTGGTTTGAATGCTCCCTCAAGGAGACAGAGAGAAAGCTCGCGGCACCTCGGATTTGGCAAAAGCTGCAGGGCGCTGCGAAGTCGGTGGTTCGCCACCTTGATCCAAAGGATTTCTCCTCTGACACTGGCCTGGAGAAACTCCTGCGGGTCCTCAGAGACTCGCCACTGCAGAAGCTTCCAATCCCTGATAGCTTCTCAAGATTGGAGAAATGGACAGGTTTGAAGCGAGCCCATGGCGAGGCGATCCCACAGCTGCTGGTGAGAGAGGAAGAGCTTTTCACAGAGCTCCAGCAGGCACTACAACGTGCACGCCATGAACGAGCTCGAAGTGAGGTGAAGTCCATGGGTGTCGGAGCAAGCGAAAGAGATCCACCTATGTCCCCTACAAGGTCACCCAATGTGACGAGGGCAGGATTGAGTTCGGTCAGAGAAGATGATGACTTCCCGGCTGAGGATGAGAAGGTTGTCGAAACCTCCCAGGGCGAGAACGCTGGATTCTTTGAGCATGAGCTCAGGGGTTACAGGTTGTTGAAAGCAGCCAAGCTCACCCAAGCTGAACGTCAGCATGTCCTCACGCTGACGAAGAACTCGACCCACATCACCCAGATCAGGCAAGCTTTGAGATCTCTATTTTCTGATGGTGCTGATCAAGCTGATGATCCTGGAAGGCTGCCAAGACGCTCTGTGTGGTATGCGGCCGATGAAGGTGAAGATTGGGGCCTGGAAGATGATTGGTGGAGTGAAGATCCAAGCTGGTGGAGCGAGGACATCTTCTGGAATGACTGGAGCCCTTCATGGAGTCCAACTTCATGGGATGATGGTGGCTCCTATGAGGACTACATCCAGGAGAATGACTACTACCCGGAGGAGCCAGAGGAGAAGACAACTGAGGAGCTCGAGAACGAGCAGCGAGTTGAAGAAGCCTTTGCATTGGCCACAGAGGCCAACAAGACATTGGCCGAAGCAAGACAGGCTGTTGCTCGTGTCCGTGCTGCACGGGGTTATTTTGATCCTACGGGCACGAAAGGACATCCTGGAAGTCTTGGTGGCGGCAAAGGGAAGAGAAAAGGGCCAGCGCCTGGCAAGGGCAAAGGTGTTGGAGGTGGCTTCGGACCGTGCTTCATCTGCGGTCAGCCCGGTCACGGGTATCTGAAGTGCCCTGACCGCTGGTCCAAAGGTGGGAAGAAAGGTGCATCTCCATCTTCGTCGAGGAGCTCTTCATTTGGTGGCCGTGGAAAAGGCAAGGGCAAAGGAGGTTCGAAGGGCAAGAAAGGAAAGACCTTCTTCGCTGAAGCTGAATGGGTTCCTGAAGTCTATGTCATGAGCCTCTTTGACCAGACTGATTTGGAGAGCCTTGGAACGTCTAAGGTTGTCTTGGACACTGGGGCGACGGAATCGGTTGCTGGGATTCGCGCGATGGCCAAGGTCCTGGACTCCCACTTGTTCACCTATGAGGTCAACATCTCTGAGAGGCCTCGGTTCAAGTTCGGGAACGGCGAATCTCAAAGAGCGGTTTCCAAGGTCTGGCTTAACACTCCAGCTCTTGGTTGGTTGAGCTTCTACCTCCTTGACGGCGGTGCGGAGATGACCCCATTGTTGCTTGGAGCTCGCGACATGCGGAAGCGCCGAGCGGTGATTTCCTACCATGGTGACTACATGGCGCATCGTGGTCAAAATGGAGCATGGTTTGCAAATGAGCTGATCACGGCACCAGGAGGTCACCTGACACTCTCTCTGGCGACACGCCGTCTTCCTCTACGCCTCCTACTGGAGCATTTGGATGGACCACCCTTCAACAACCCGGGTGGCTATGGCGGCGATGATGAGAATGCTGATGATGGAGATGATGGCCGACCTCGACCTCCAAACCATCCTCCACCTGGGCGAACTCCTCCCGAAGGTGGACGTTCTGGAGAAGTTCGAGACGATGGACCTCGCGATCCTGAAGGTGAAGATCGTGAGACGAAGAGGAAGCGAGAGGACCCTACTGCCCGTTTGTTGAAGACTACGGTGAGATTGGACGCCAGCCGGCGAGAGCATCCTGATTGCTTTGTGACCCTTGGCAGTAGTGGTGATGGACATGCTGAGAGGCCTGCCTTAGAGCTAGATTCCAACTATTCTCCAACTTCGCCATCAGTGGTCATTGAACCGATGGCTGAGCCCTCAACGGCTGCAAGAGCCTCAGAGGAGCGACCTTCTTCGGAGCTTCCTGCACCCAGTGAATACATGTCGCCTTCTGCAGCTGACTGTCGTTCGCCACGTGTTGATGACATGGAGACTCACCCTCATCCAGAAGAAACACATCCACATGAGTCAAGTGCAGTCACGCACATGTCAACTGTTTTGCAGTCAGATGAGTCACAGCATGTAGAAGTTCATGAAGATTGTCAGTCAGCAATTCCGTCGAACGGTATGATCATGATGGTGACGAAGAGTGGATTGTCTGAGTTTGACGACCGCCTCAGCATCTTGGCTCAGCGGTTGCGAGAGCATCGAGAAGCCTATCCATCCCACCTGGAGGATGAAGGCATGCCCCCCTGCCACGGATCACGATCCTCGACACCTTGGATGGCCATGCCATGGCGAGCACCTCCCTGGCAAGGAGCGGGCGAATGGATCGGCAATGTGGCAAGCATGCTCTCGATGCGGTCTACGTCTTCGCTACGTGACCAAGGGCAAGGCGACTGGACAGACCAGGGCAATTGGCCCGCCACCAGATCAGGTGGAGCAAGCCCAAGAGAACTGCGGCCCGACTTCAAGCCATCAGAGATGACAGAGAAGATCTTCAATGGGAAGCTGATGGAAATCAGGGGTCGCATCCTGGTGCACAGCGGCGGACAGGGTCGGACCAATGTCCAAGTCCGAGCGGACGAGAAGTTGGGAGAAGCATTGATGGCATCGACGGCTTGCGGAGAGACCCGGAAGACAAGTCCTACCCGGAAGAGCAAGGAGGACAGCGAGCCAGTGACTCCCAAGAAGAACCGATCCCCGAGCAAGGAGAAGGTGAAGCCGCAGGACAACTCCGTGAAGAAGGAGATCCAGGACAAGGGCTATGCTGGGCGGCCAACTTCGTCGACGGCAAGGCGGGGACCAATTGCCATGAGCGTGAACTCCGAGGACACGGTGGAGGAAATTCCGGACTCCGAGACAGAGTCGAAGAAGGCGGAGTGAGTGGCATCTGGTCGAGTTTGCGGCGACTGAGGAGCAAGATGACGGAATCTGCCTGCACTAAGGCATCATGTCTATGTCAGCTGGAGGCCGACAAGGACATCAATCCTGCAATTTCCAACGTGAGCCCAACACGCAACTCCAACTATGAGGATGGCAACCATCCATCTACACGCACGACGAGCACTACGAAGTGTGGCATGAGCTCTACACGCCCTACCGCACGAATTTCTTCGATGCCGAGTTCCACGATTGAGGAGCTCTACGCGGTGACGAATGTGACCGAGAAGCAAGTGCGACCTTCACTTGCCCGACGGCTAGCAATGGCCGCAGCTTTGACATGCACCTTGATGGGACCTGTTCGAGAGA